TCGACGATGTTATTGTCAGCAATCACCGACAGTGATTTAATTGTTGATAAATGAGCACCACGTAGTTATGGAAAATAAAAGTTTATATTCTTTTATAAATTATGTACTATGATATGTTAATTTTTTTTAATTGTTATTTTATTTCTAAGATAATTCTGTTAGTATTTTACTTTTCTATTTTTACTGCTTTATCTATTGATAATTTTTTTCCCAGTAAATTAGATTTATTAAAATGTTTATATTTTAATAATAATTAGTGAAAAAGTCATTTGTCATCTTAAGTTACTTTTTGGGTTACAAACATTTTGTTGAACATTTATTTTTTTATATTTTTATTATTTTATTTAATGATAGGATTTTCTATAATAAATTAAGCATTTATTTGGCAAATTTAGAAATTGCTTATAAAGATGAATAGTAATTCGTGTCACAAAATGTGTGATTAAATAATAAGTAGTAGTTATAAATATTTGATTAAAATTGATGTTTGACTTTGACTGTATTTATGAACCATTTATAGATTTATATCCAAAAGAAGGCTAAATTCAAGAAGATAATACTTTTCTTTTCTTTTCTTTTTTTGAATTATCTCCACAGAAGGGAGAGAAAATGAAAAAACTTTACATAGACAAATAGATTTCTGGCTAAAACTATGAGCAAAATGCGAAGCCAATGACGATTAGATGTGGAATGTTTTTTTATTTAATATTTTATCGCAGCTTCATTATTGTTAATAATAATATTCCGTTTTAATTATTATATATGTTATGTTCAAAATAATTAGATTTCTTTTTTATTAATTAAGACCTTAAAGACTAATTGAATAATTTCAAGAATATGTTAGTCTATTATTACATACAAGGACATACCAACACTAAGCCCCCATTTGGACCCCCATTATTTTTATTATAATGGGGGAATAGTGTTTTTTTTATAAAATAAATGGTCGTAAAAGAATAAAAAAATTCTAATTTACGTGTAATATTATTTTATTGCAGATTGTGTGGTTAAAAATGGGATAAAACAAAATTTAATTTAATTTGATGAGATGTAATGGAGGTCAAACGAGGACTAAACCAATTAAAGATTGCGCTTTACAGTTTATGTAGTGTTAAATTAGAACTCTTTTTTATTATCGCTATCCAAATGACACCTTTCAATAAATTTCTTATATGGCTCTTTTGTTAGGTTAAAGATAACGGAGTTTCTCAAGCAATAATGTGTTGATTTAGTCGCACATGTACTGTTTAATCTTATTTAATTAATAATAATGACGTTATTACATACAAGGACATACCAACACTAAGCCCCCATTTGGACCCCCATTATTTTTATTATAATGGGGGAATAGTGTTTTTTTATAAAATAAATGGTCGTAAAAGAATAAAAAAATTCTAATTTACGTGTAATATTATTTTATTGCAAATTGTGTGGTTGAAAATGGGATAAAGCAAAATTTAATTTAATTTGATGAGATGTAATGGAGGTCAAACGAGGACTAAACCAATTAAAGACTACGCTTTACAGTTTATGTAGTGTTAAATTAAAACTCTTTTTTATTTTCGCTATACAAATGACACCTTTCAAGAAATTTCTTATATGGCTCTTTTGTTATGTTAAAGATAACGGAGTTTCTCAAGCAATAATGTGTTGATCTAGTCGCACGTGTACTGTTTAATCTTATTTAATTAATAATAATGACGTTGGCATGATTCATTCTATTTAAGCTCCATGATTTGACAAGAGAGAATTAGGTTTCATACATTGTAAACAAGCATTCATAAATATCCTAACAAACCCTAGCTAGTTGTTCGAAATGACATTGAATGTGTAGTCAAAATTGTGGTGCTAAGGGAGAGGAAGTTAGGGGACTGTCTTGGTTCAAACATATCCAAACATTTGTGTATTTACTTGCCTAAATGAAGATAAAGTTGACATCCCGTCTTGCATTCTTATTTAATCAATCATCTTGTTTGAATCATGTATAGTCATTTGGCAACAATTTGAACCTTTCGTATTATTCTTTTTTATGTAAGAATGATAATACTTTTTAAGCAATTATCGTGTAGTATGAATATGAGCTATACGAGTTTGTTTTGAGATGAGCCATTGATTGAGTCGAGCTTACAATTTTTTTGAGGTCTACGAGCTCACTTGATTAAGCTTGTGGGTACGAACCCACAATCAGTTCCATTTGAGCTGGTGGATTGGCTCTTTTTGTTAACTTATTTGATTAATTTCTTAAAAGAATGCTCGTAAGCCCCATGAGCCAGATGATCGAGCTGAGCCGATTTGGATCGGGCAATTACCGTCCGCACATGAAGTTCTACTAAAAAAACGTAAAAGTTATGTCAAACGAATCCTAAGTAGATGTTCAGTAAACGATACAAACAAAAGTTTTTCCATCATAAAGTTCAATTTAACTTTTTCTACGTTGAATTTGACGTTAAACTTATATATAGAGTTGACTCAGTGATACAAGTGTAAGTACGAGTTTGTTTTGAGATGAGCCATTGATTGAGTCGAGCTTACAATTTTTTTGAGGTCTACGAGCTCACTTGATTAAGCTTGTGGGTACGAACCCACAATCAGTTCCATTTGAGCTGGTGAATTGGCTCTTTTTTTTAACTTATTTGATTAATTTCTTAAAAGAATGCTCGTAAGCCCCATGAGCCAGATGATCGAGCTGAGCCGATTTGGATCAGGCAATTACCGTCCGCACATGAAGTTCTACTAAAAAACGTAAAAGTTATGTCAAACGAATCCTAAGTAGATGTTAAGTAAACGATACAAACAAAAGTTTTTCCATCATAAAGTTCAATTTAGCTTTTTCTACGTTGAATTTGACGTTAAACTTATATATAGAGTTGACTCAGTGATACAAGTGTAAGCTCACTCTACGATACGAACCAAATTGAGCAATATTATTAAATGAAATAATACATTAAAATATTGGGATAGGAAAAAGGAAACCTTTCAATTTGAGTTGCCTAATATTTTAATGCAACATTGATTACACTCAACAAACACTAAGACCACATCAGCTGATCACAAAAGTCAAAGTTTGACCAAATCTTCATCATAGTATTGAGGTTGTAAAGTGGAGGAAATTCCAGAAAGTTTAAGAAAAATACAAAACTGCACAAAAAAATACCCCTACGTGTCAAAAAATTGAATAATACGTACTTCGGCCACCCTTCCTTTCGAAAATATTTCACTAACTTTGTAAGTTCTGTATTTTCTAAGTACACGTGTTTGCACGTGTCGTGTGTACAATTCCCCATGTGTACCCACGTGTTTTAATCCACGCTTGAAAATTGAACTGCTCATACACGTGTCAAATTAATCTTACGATTATAATAAAATTTTGGTAATTAAATAATAGTGAGTTAAGTTTGCATATAATGGACGGTTAGTAATCTAGAGACATTCACATATTTCAAGTGAATGCCAATAATTTTTAATGAAACGAGGAAACAACTGTCCTATATATAATCTGTCGAAAAATGTGTCGAGATTGACTATTTTAACAATGTTGATGAATCATAATACCATGTTTTACATGATTCATTATAGAAATGTGGATTAGACTATTTTTTTAGTTTGAATGTCGGTCAAATTAATGTTAAGTTAAATGTTACATGACCGATGACTCGAACTTTCTTCTTTGGAGCTCAACTTTCGTGACTCAAGTCTAAATTGTGTGATTCAATAATATTGGCTGATCTTATATGCGATCATTTCTCGTTAAATTTTTATATACCACACAACTGTGTGTCATGATTTGAGTGAATTACCCAATTGGTCAATGGACTTTGTAAAAGGTTTTCATAGAGTCATTCAACTTTAAAAATCATACAATTTATCACTATACTTTGCAACAGGTTTTCACGAGATCACTGAACTTTAAAAATCAGCAAATTCATCACTGAATTTTGTAAAATATTTTCCAATGGGTCATTAAAGTTCGGTGATCCTGTGAAAATCTTTTGTCAAATTCAGTAATGAATTGAGTGATTTTAAGTTCAATGATCCCGTGGAGACTTTTTACAAAGTTCAATAATGAATTTGATGATTTTTAAAGTTCAATGACCTCGTAGAAACTTTTTCAAGGTTCAATAACCATTGGATAATTCCCTCTCATGATTTCAATTTAAAGCTAGGAGACTTGTATCACACGTCAAAAAGAAAAAGGGGGGGGGGTTGGATATATGATTTATATATAGATTTGAAGTCTTCAATTTCAATAGCTAATTTTCGAAATGTGACTCTCTCAAAATTATAACAGTTATAGAAGAACATGCATCACGTCTATATATTGTAATCGAACGATGCAGATAATGTTGTCGACACAAGGGGGGGGGGTTGGATATATGATTTATATATAGATTTGAAGTCTTCAATTTCAATAGCTAATTTTCGAAATGTGACTCTCTCAAAATTATAACAGTTATAGAAGAACATGCATCACGTCTATATATTGTAATCGAACGATGCAGATAATGTTGTCGACACAATAATAGTCCATTGGAATTAGTCATGAACTAATGCAAAGTCAGTTAAACGTGGACACAGAAACTGAAATCATGATAATTTGTCATAATTCCTATTAAAATGTATGATTTATGGAATTGGAGTCTTCATCTTCAACATTAGTATCTTGAGATATGGATGTCTCAAAATTTATATTATTATTTTAATGTTTTTGTCCCAGGAGAAAAAGACAAACACAGTAAATATGTGTATTCTAGAAGCTTAGCGAGAATATGGCACGTGGCAAAGCAGCCTGGTGACTCAACGGTGGTGTGTTATATTGTTTACGGTACATGCACCATTGGGATAAGATCGGCCGGTTGCACCCAACCACGTATACGTGGCACACTTTAAATGGTAAAAAAAGGGGGACCCTCTTTTGACTACGAGAAAAGGACGACCGTACTTATCTTTAAACCTCCTGCGTATATAAATAACCGCCAAATCGCCCATTTGAGAAGAATAAAATTAGAAAAATCATTTTGCAGATTTGGAAAACTCTCCAGTTTCTAAAGCTGCAACGGATGATTAAAAAAATGGGTTTTGAAGAATCGGACCCGATTTCACAACTGAGTTTGCCCCCCGGGTTTCGATTTTATCCCACAGATGAGGAGCTTTTAGTTCAGTATTTACGCAGAAAAATTGCAGGTCACCATTTTGCTCTACAAATCATTGCTGATATTGATTTGTACAAGTTTCATCCATGGGATCTTCCCAGTAAGTTTTTCCTCCTCTGTTACATCGAATCTCTTCATTCTGTAATTTCAATTTTCTAAACTTTTTCTGGGTCTTTTTGGTGAAGGCAAAGCTATCTTTGGAGAAAAGGAATGGTACTTTTTCAGTCCAAGAGACAGAAAATACCCAAATGGATCGAGACCCAATAGAGTGGCCGGTTCTGGGTATTGGAAAGCCACGGGAACTGATAAGATTATAACTTCAGGAGGACTAAAAGTTGGTATAAAAAAATCCCTTGTTTTTTACATAGGAAAAGCGCCCAAAGGAACCAAAACCAATTGGATTATGCACGAATACAAGCTTATAGAATCCCCCAGTAAAAATGGTGGCTCAAGGGTAAGAAATTTTATAAGCTTAACACACAGACATCTTCATATGTATATATATTTGTAAATTTGGTGCTGATGGGTTCTTTTTTTGGTGATGTTTTGTGTTTTTCAGTTGGATGATTGGGTGCTATGCCGGATTTACAAGAACAACTCATCAAATGGGCAAAAGCCTACTTTTTCTGATGCTCAGAGCAAAGAGCATAGTCATGGTTCAACTTCGTCGTCATCGCATCAATACGACGACGTTTTGGAGTCCTTGCCGGAGATTGATAACCGGTTTTTCTCTTTGCCGAGAATGAATTCTTTGAAGACTATTCATCAAGAAGATCAGAAGTTGAATCTTCAAAACCTGGGCTCTGGGAATTTTGACTGGCCCACTTTAGCTGGGCTCAACTCGGTGCCTGACCTCGGTCAAGTCCAAACGGGACAAACTCAGGGAATTATGAACAGCCAAAATATCATGAATGGCCACAATGACATGTATGTCCCTGCTATGCAGCAACAAATTGGCCGTGTTGTAGATGAGGAGGTACAGAGTGGACTCAGAACACAGCGAGTTGACAACTCGGGGTTGCTTCTGCAAAATGTGAATGGATTTTCACAGAGTTCTACGTCCAGCAACTCGCTTGACCCGTTTGGGGCTCGGTTTCTGACTCAGCCGGGTGGTTTCGGGTTTAGGCAGTGAAAATGATAATAAATGGAAGTGTAGGGGTGGATTAATGTAAAAAAATGGAATTCTTTGGGTTTGGGTTTTTTGTTCCTGATCACAAGCTCTAAGGAGCCTACTTTTATGGGCTAGTTGGCCTCGAAGGCCCAATACTTTGTTCTTGATGGGTTAGGTTAGAATTTAGCTTTTGCTAAAACTCAATTCTCTATTATTTTGTTAAAATTTTTCTATTTGAAAAAAATAATAATAATAAAAAGGCTAATAGTAGCAGTAGTTAAGAGCCCTTTATGAAGGGTTTTTGTTTATTTCTTTTTGTAGAAGTATTTGATTTAATTGGCTTCTTTTGAAAGCGTTTTTAGTTAATTATTTAGACAGATTTAGAAGTAAATTTTTAATTTTAGAAATAGCTTTTGACTTTTTAAAAGTATTGTTGAATAGGTTTTAAAAATCGTTCATTTAATATCGTGAAAAATGTCTCATGTAACACCATTTAGTTTTGTGTCACAACTCGCTTATTCGCTCCACGAGGATGCGCACAGGAAATCAGAAACTAGTAGATTCAGATACGAAGCAAACATAAAATAAACCAAATTTGATACCTGAATATTCGGTTTGATAACCTGCTACTACAGGAAATCAGAAACTAGTAGATTCAGATACGAAGCAACATAAAATAAACCAAATTTGATACTTGAATATTCGGTTTGATAACCTGCTACTAATTCTTCTTCTGCTTTCGAGGATCAATTCAATAAAAGAAATTAGGGTCTGTTTTGAATTCATTTTATTTTACCCTAGACTTCATTAAAATTTTATGAATCGATTCTTGAATGCCCGCTATGGTAGAATATTCATGTGGGACGCCTCCCACTGGGGGCCCGCTATGTCAAAAGCGAGAGAACCCTATTCCTCTCTTTCCTTTTTTCGCCCCCATATCGCCGCACGACTTTAGATGGTAATGGTGCATATTTAATTTGAGGGAAACTCATCGTTTCTCTTTTGTTAATACACTCGAGAATTTTGATAAGAGTTTTCTCATTTTCATAGCTTAGACATGACTAGTCATAATGTAGATTAATATTCTCAAGAATATTGACGAGTTTTCCCACTTTCGTAGTTTAAACATAACTAGTCATAATACACGTTTTTTCGCAGTTTAAATATTAGTCATAGAGTTGTGGAGAATTTGTTCTTGTCAAGTTGTGGAGAATTTGTTCTTGTCAAGATCAAGATTAGGCCATGTGCCTAAATATGATAGTGAATATGGAATCATTCTCTTGACAAAGCAGCTTCCTAGCTTTTAGGTGGTCGAGGAGCCTTGCTGAATTTTTGACTAGTCATAATGAACGTCTTCAATTTGTGACCCTCGTTGGATTGGAGCTCTTTATATTTTATATAAAATATCATGTCTTAAGTCTCTTGACGATCATCATCCTTAAGAAGTGGCATTATGACCTTGTCTTAATTTAGATGTTTTGTGATTACTGTCAAGACATATTTTTACCTCTCTCTATCCTATATTCATCGCTTGCTTGATGATATGATTATTTTGCTTTGCGTCGGCCGCTCTAGAAAATGCAAAAATCCTTTGTGCATGCAAGTTATATCATGGACGCTGACTTGAAAGCTTTTGAAGGGAGAGAGCAATAGGCAAGCCATTTAAAGGTGAAGGAGGAGGAGAAGGTTTCCAATATGAAAAAGTATTTGGAGGCTTAAGATGCTCTAGTTGAAAAGCAAGAAAAAGAGATTGACAGCCTTCACTCTTCACTTGCCCATGCCCGGGGTGATGCTGTGAGCGTTACGAAGCCTTTTATGAGTTTACCAAAGATATGGACATTTATGGGTCTGTTATAATTCGAATTAGATCTGAAACCATTTTATTAAAAGAGGAACAGATTTGATACCAATTTGTTGAGAATTCGACCAAATAATTCAAGATGAGCATAATATGAGTAAATATGAAAATAATGGATTACAAAGAAAACAAGACCTACATAGAAATCCAAATTAGGGAAAATCATGGGTAGAGATAAAGAATTTGCTCTAGTTAATAGTAAGGAATTACAAAGGATCTCTTTGAGTCTAACTAATTGGACAATTAGTCAATTTCAATATTATTTCCTATCACATATTTATAACCAAACAATTCCTAAAATAATAGGAGAATTAATAAATGAAGATTTTTAATGTAGAAACATATTGCTGAATAATTAAAAAAGAATTGGATAAAAATGGAAAAAATGTAACAGTAGAAAGAAAACATACGAAATTTTGGATTGGGCCTATAAGACTATTCCTAAAAGAAGAAGATGAGACGAGCAATACTCATCGCTATGCTACAATGTACGATAAATTTCGGCCATTCGAGTTCGTTTAGGACTCGAAAATAGATTTTTAAAGTTTTAGCGCTATTTCTGTCATTTAGTTTATTTTGGATTCTTTCCAAATGTTAGTTTATTTAAACTTTGTTTTCATTAATTTTAGTTACTATAAATATGTTTCCATGCAAAATCTTATAAATAAAGGGATTATTTCATTTTTTTTAATTATCTTTTATTAACATAAATTTGTGAGTTTATTCTCTCTATAATTTGGATTGTATCTAAATTTCGTGTTCTTAAGGTTTTCGTTTAAATTCCTTGTTTCGCGCTGTGTCATTAATATAAGGTGGAGTCCCAACACAATGATTAAAACTAATAATGGAATATTTGTAATGAAATAGGAGTCAAAAAACTATTAAAAATGGAAATCATTCTCTTTATTCTTATTGAACTCTTTCAAGACTTCCTCAAGTCTACTAAAAACTTCCAATACTACTCCAACAGTATTCCCAATCAAATACTTAACAAGAATTTAGGTCACAATCCAATTCTAACAAACTCCACTTTGACACGAATTTCATTGCAAGAAATAAAACTAAACTCTTCAACTCCAAACAAAATACTCAACCAAATTACTCCATCTCTTCCAACATGCCCCTCTAAACACATTCAACAACTATGAAAACAAATTCTAAGCCCTGCTTACAAGCATAATTAACTTGCGCCCCAACCTTACTTAAATCATCTAGTTCACTTCTAGCTCCAGTCGAACCACCAAAACTGCTCAAATCACCATGAGCACTTCCAACTCCACTTGAATTGTCAAAAATGATCAAATCACCATGAGCAACATAATCAATAAGATTACAACTAGCTCCACCCAAGCTATTGGAAGATTTTCCAATATTATTGTTCGAATTACCATGAATAACTCGATCACGAGAATGATATGAGCAATATGAAAATAATGGATCATAAAGAAAACAAGATTTACGAGGAAACTCGAATCCAGAAAAGCCATGGGAAGAGATAAAGAATTTACTATAATTAATAGCAAAGAATTACAAATGATCTCTTTGGACCAATAACTAATTGGACAATTGGTCAATTCTAATTTATGTTGTATACCACATATTTATAATCAAAGAATTCTTAAATACTAGAAGAATTAATATACAAAGAGTTTCATATAATGTGAAGTCACAATACAATGGTTAAAACTAATAATAAAATATTTGGGATGAAATATGAGTCAAAAAATTGCCAAAAAGGGAAATCACTTTCCTCATCTTTCTTGAACTCTTTCAAGATTTCTTCAAGTCTACTACAAACTCTCAATACTATTCCAACATTATTTTTCATCAAAATACTAAACAAGAATTTAGGTCACAACCTAATTCTAACATGATTGTCAATAAAAGTTTCAATTGCACTAATTAAGGAGTGGTTGACTTCAATTTGTGGAGAAATAGCGGTGGTGATGGTGGTGGTGAGAGTAATAGTATTTTTTTTGTGACACTTGGCGTGGGAAATTCTTATTGAAATACTTTAATTTTTATTTTCAAAACGTAAATAAATGAATGGGCCTAATTTCTTCAGTTTTGTAGGTCTATTAATTTTCAATGGACTGACTCGACCTTCATCTAGGTCTGATTTAGACCATTGTGGTCCTGAAATAGCCCATGTAAAATAATCCGAGCTTAGTTATAGACTAACTTGCCCACTTTATTCCGGGCCGATCCAATCCAATCCGTTATTTTGTATGACTTACTTCTTTGAGAAAGAGAGCTAGAGTCGGATGCCTCTTTTAAAATTCTATAATTTTTTCAAAAGATCAACACAGTCATGCCAATTCTTTCTGGATAGTCCAATTAAATTATGGATTAATCTATTTGTACCAAATAGATTACCTAATGATTTATCGAATTGACACAGCCGCCCCTCCAATAGGGGGCCGCCACCTGTCAATTCGGTAAACCATTAGGTAAACCCTTATATTTTTGTAGCATAACCCTTAAATTATCTAGTGGGTGTGAACCGGCTTGGATCGAGCCCTTAGAATTTCAGTTTAGTTTTCAAGGGTGTTTGTCGCTTTTGAATTTCACCCCATAAATGTGTAAGCACATCAAATTACGAGAATAGTGCATTTTGACCCCTCTTTTGTATGAGAAAGGGACTAAGAATGCATAAAGTACTTTAAGAATGTACCTTTATCTAAAGAGACACTCTTGTTTGAGAAGGACAAGCTCGAAAAATCATATCTATGTAATTGTAACATGTTACTTCACTGAAACATCAGTGGAGGACTTCGCCATATTTTATGTCTAGATTAAAAAATCATAGCCACAAGTAAAAATCGGATCAGGATATTTTTCCAGCCAGTTCTCACACTCCAATTTGAAGGAAATTAAAAATAAATAAATATTTATTATTTTTTTATATTGACGTCCCAAACCCAAGCCCATGTTGAGGCCAACCCGACTAGCAGGCAGGCTGCAAACGCATGTGGGCTTCTAAAGAATATTGGGAGCCCAAAACCAAGATCCAAACCTGGTCTGTATAAGTTGACTAAGTGAGTAAACATCTTACAACGTAGAATTGGGAAACTTTCCCATTTTCAAATCCTTTCAGAGTTCATTTTCGAACTTTAATTTTTTACTCATCAAAAATTAGTTTCAAACAATCAAATAAACTAATTTGGCTTACGCTTAATTGTACATTAATATTACATATTATGCTGTCCTTGTCCATTAGAAAATGAAAACCTTTAATTCAGGCTAATTAATTGCATTCAGCTACAATGACTTCTATATGTTACATGATAATAATCTACATTGCTTAAGATTAATCCCAGCAAAGCCCTGGTTTTCAGTGGATATTATGAGAAGTTATAGACTGATCTCGACTTACAAATATATATATTTGATATGTTGAACTAGACAAGCAGTGACATATTTGAGAAAGAAAGACATATTTATATAAAGAAAA